ATATATATAGATTAATAAATAAATAAATATTAAAAACTCCTGTAATTTACTTTTTATTCTGCAACAATCACATTTGAAAATCCAGAAGTGAAAAGGTACTATCCATAACCACCGTGATGGGTAGAGTTTGCAGGCAGAACTTCATGCCATCTTGTCCTTTGATATTAACTCAAATCCTGAAGAATTAAAAGTGATTCCAAACCCCCATGACCTCAAACTTGCAAGTTGGTCTCGGTTGCTTGGGCTGTGCACTTGCACACTCCTGTGAGCTGGGCTGGGGTGGTGGGAAGGTGTTTAGGAGAAGGTGAAACACCTCTGTTGTGTTGTGTTTCAGCAGAGAAGCAAATCATCAATGCCTTTCCAAGGGTGAACTAGTCAGGAAGCCGTTTAAGATTCCGGGGTCTGGCAAAGGAGAGGTAAGTTGTGGCTTGTTTGTTTTCTCTTTTATTTGAAGAAAGGGGGAGAAAAACCTTATTCTGCTAGTTTTCTCTCAAAAGCTTTGAAGAAGTGGACTATAAATTAGCACAAGGGCTGCTAGACATAGGGAAGGGGGATATCACAGTATGGCAACCTTCACACCTTCTCTGAAAAATAAAAAGCCCTCATGACATTAGTGCGTAGCAGCTCTGGATGAAAAGGATCTCACAGTCCTGATGGCAAACACTGTCCAACACAGTCTTGTCTTGGTTTGGTTTAACATACTTTTGAGTAACATCCATGATTGTCCATTTTCACTGTGCTGTCTTGGTTCCTGTCTTCCCTGGTCCTTTTTTGCACTAGATATAATAATATTGTGTCCCCTCCATGGGCTGCAGTGTCACTTAGAGATGTCTTAGGGCTACGCTATGATGCCAAACATCACTAGAATCTCCTTTTTATTTTAAAACCCTCTTTTTGTTGTTTTTTTTATCCTTTGGTCAAGCAGGTTCCCAGACCGACCCATAAAAAGAAAGCCCGCATGGCGCGGACGCGCTCCGATTTCTTGACTAGAGGTACTTTTGCTGATGGGGAGGGGGATACGGAGGAAGATGATTGCGGTGGCTATTTTGAGTTCCTTCTCTCCTCTGAGCAACCTCCTCATGCCGGGGCGGTGCCTGCAGCCCGCCTGGGCCAGGCCTGTTACAGTGACTCCGAAATGGTAATTTTTATCAGCGTGGTGTGGGAAATGGAATAAGGGAGCAAGTGGAGCTGCGGGAGCCTTTCTTTGCTAATCTTAGCTGCACTGATCCCTCCACTGCTTCTTCTCCCACTCCCAAGGATGCTGTAGATGGGTAAACTGGGCGAACACAGCTGACAAGGATGTGACATGGGGAAATCATTTGCATTTCTTGGCCATTGCGGTGTTTTCTGGCTTGATTGGGTATCAGCTATGATTCTACACCTTTCCTGGAGCGTTGCAACTTGTACTGCACAGCTACCTATTTCTTTCTTGGGTTTTTTTTAACCTCAATAGCAAAGTCCCCCCAGGATCCTTTTACTCTAAAAATGATCTACACACATCCATAGAAAAGATCCAATCAAATATTGTCCAAAAAAGCAACAGACAGCAAAGAAAACTGTATGAATCTTGCACTTTCTATTACTTTTGATTTAGTATCTTTAGCTACAGTATCCTATGATTATTCAGTCCTCAATTATTGGAGTAATGATGGCAGATGATGTCTTAAAGAAGGCAAAACCATGCAAACTGGGCAATAAAAATATAGTGAGAATGAAACGTTGGGGTTTTTAAAACCAGACCTACCTTCCTGGCTTTTTCAAGCTCAGTAACTGGTGTCCCTTGGCAGGTCCATGCTACATGAGCCTGCACTGCAGAGCATTTGCATCTCAGGCTTAATCTCCTGCCCAGATAAGCTGCCTTTCATGAGCTGACAGGTTTCAGGAGTGGAGAGGCCAACAGCTTCCAGCCAACTCCTGTTTTTTTCCTGAGGTGGTTGAGATGTTCCCATAGAAGTGGTACAAACACCAGGAGTTGTCTCCTGCCCTAAGAGCAAGTGAAGAGTTGAGTAGAGCTGCCTTGCTCTTCCACTCCAGCTACGGGGCAGGATGTGGAGCTGAGTATGAAACTGAAGAAAAGCAGGAAAACTGAAGTCAATGATGTATTTTATGCTACAGCATTGCTGTGGGTCTGGCAAACATCTTGTGTGATCCTGAAATCTGCTTTTCCAAGAAAGGCAGATGGCCAAGGAGGGCTTTTTGTGACTTTTCTGTTAGCAGCTTTTATTATAAAGGATCGTTTTTTTCCCAGGATAATTTCATCATTGGAAAAGGGCAGATATTTACAAATTCCATGAATTTTTAAAGTTGCTTTTGACAAATTTCCAGGGATTTTGAGCCAGGAATACTCAAAACCTGATTGAACGACACAGCTCTGTGAACCAAGATCGCTTGGCTGCATCTTTGCACTTCTCCCTGCTCGTAGGTCAGGAAAGGGAGAGTTTTATGTAGTGAAAAGCCTGGCCAAAGCCCTGGCCAAGAAGCTGCGTCATATCTGGAATGCTGTGCTGTTTTCCTGGAGGCTGCCCTCTTACGAAGGGCTTTTTTAACTGTAGAAATCTTTCCTGCTGGGATGCGAAAGGTGCTGGGCTGGTGCTTGGCAAACTCCATCCTTGGGGGGAACATGGCTCATTGGAAATGCTCCTTGGGACTCTGCTCACCTGGTTTAACAGCTCTCATCGCATGCAAGTAGTAGTAGTAATAGCTGTTTCTCATCTCTCCTGTATCCTCTTCTTCCCTGCTCTCCATCACTAGCTCTAACTGGTGGTCGGCACTTTCACCTTGTGTGTAGCTGAGTTTTGCTTTCTAGCAAATGCTACCCATGAAGTCGTGTGCTCAGCAATACCCTATGTCTGTATGTCGTGACAACATGTACAGTGTTTCCATCTGTATTCTGTATTGCAGGTTTGGGACCAGCCCTTTGGCTTTTGGCTTTTCTGAGCCAGGATTGCCACAAGTAGCAAAATTTAGGGACTACTTATTCATATTCATTAGCAGAGGCTGGTTGGGTGTTGCTTGGGAACAGCCTATGATAGAGCAATGCTGGTGCATGTTGGTTTGGATACAAACTCAAGTAGGTTGGTATCTCTGTAGACACATTCGTTGTGTCTTGTGATGTTCACATGAAGACGAGTCAGGCAGTGACCATGCATAGGCTGGTTTTTGTGCTACTCAGTAGCTTATTCATACAGCTTCTACCCCCCAGCTGTGACTTTCCAAAAAAAGCCTCTCTTAATGCTCTGCTCAGTGGCCAAGGGCTGCTGGATGGATGAAAGAGAGATCTCATGAAACCTTGTGAAGCTGAGCATGTGATGGCTCACCAGCTGCACTGGGTGAGAACCTGCCTGGTTTGCCCATTAGTTTCTTGACCATCAAGTTAATGATTGTATATCACCATCTGGTAAGTAGAGGTCCACCAAAAACTGATGCTCCTTTCCTAAGTCTGAGGTATCCCACAGCAGCAAAGACCAAGTGCATCTTCAGCCAGAGCTGAAACCCAAGGTGCACCAGCATATAAGATGGCTGCTGAAAGTACACTTGACTCCAGGGTACCTTTAAGGCTAAAGGGCTTCCTGACAAAACCAAGCCTTCAAAGGTTGGTTGAGTTTTTTAGCTAGTGAATAGCTGAGGATTAATCTACCTTGCTGTTAGACAGGTCCAAGGGGGAGGAATAGCTCCTGGCTGAGGTCAGCGCATATTAACACCCCTTCAGTTTTGCACCTAAGCCTGGAGAGCTTTCCTGCAGTGGATAAATGGAAAGCCTTGGTTTGAGAAACCACAACACAAATACCTTCTGAATGTAGCCTCCTTTGACAGAGGCTCTTAGAGAGAAGCACCTGGATAATGAAGCAGTCATTTTGCTCCATACTAAAGCCACCAACTGGCAAAAATCCATCCAAAGTAACTGTCACCACTGACCCCAAGGATGCCTGAAGAGCCAGCAGTGAAAGAAGATCTCTTTTCCTAAGCCATTCAGAGCAGCATCACACTTTAGGAAGCTCTTCAGTGCAGCATGTAGTACTGCTGCCTGCTCGGACAAGTCACTTGGCCATAGTTCTTTCTTGCTAGCATGGGTGGCTGAAACAGAGGTTGCTCTTGGTCTCTTCTTCACCCAAGGAACAACTTCAGACCCCCAGCTATTGTCATTTACCCATATGTGATGCTTTGTGGTGTTCCATGTCTGGGATTTTCTGGTGCAGAGGCTCGTCTTGACATCTAAGAAGGTTTCACATCCGTGTAAGGCCAATGTCAGCACATACCAGTGTGCTTTAACTGGCTTTGAAATACTAAAAAAGGGAGTAAATGCCCCCACAAAATATTTTTAAAAACCCAAAAACCAAAGCATTGAAATTGATTAAGAGGTTGAAATTACTGAAGAACAAAACTATGTCTTCAGGGGCAAATATTTATACAGGTGATTTTGAAAAGCAAGTAATAAGTTTGGGCTGGATTATAATAACTTTTATGGTTTTAAGGGTTGTTTTCCAGTATCCATCCACTATTTATGTGGATCATCACCTGAACATAAAAGCAGAAGGAAGAAACTGTTGGTTTAGGCAGTTTCTTTCTTTCCCAGTGGCAAGTCTGCCTTATGTGCTGCCATCTCCTGACTGGTAGACAGTTTAGTCCAGGGATGAAAAATGAAACGTTGAGAAAGAGTAAATCTGGGATATGTGACTTCCCCGTGGTCCATATTTTATATCATTTTATTTTCAATATTTTTCATAAAAGAAAACCCACATTGCGTTCAGCTGAGACATTCAGCTACAGGAGATATTTGACTGTCATCTCCTGAATCCTTTCATACAACCTGATTTCCTCATGCTGAAAGTCTTTCCTCCAGAAGGGCAACTCTGAAATCATAGCTACAGTTGGGAAAAAAAAAAGAACAAAAATGGCTATATTTTTTAAATACATCAAAACTATTTCTGGGCTGTTTCATGGAATCCTGTTAGGTTGAATTATTGCAAATTCATTTCACCCTTCAAAATGATCCCAGGGCATTTACGTGTTGGCCAAAGCAGAGATCCTTTGTGTTGAACTTGAAAATCTCTTATTTCTAGAGGGTTCATTTTGACTTGACTTTAGCGCAAAGACTTTGGTGGGCTTTTCTGTAAAGTCCTCAACAAAACTTGGAAGAGGAAGCTCTGCTGGGACAGATCCATGTGGTTGAAGGTGCCTTTGGAGCTGGGAACACCACAAATCACTTTTTCATGGCTAACATGGCTCTTCTGGGATGAAGAGTTGGGCTGCCCAGACCACAATGGTGGAGTGGTTGTGCAGGCTGAGTGATGAGGACCCATGGCTTGGTGCGCCCCAATTTTCATCATTGGTGGCTCAAGGAAAAAGAAGGTTGGATCTCAGTGTAGAGTTGGAACAAGGGAAATGCTTTTCTTTCTTAGGAGTCATGAAAAGATCTCTCTAGTAGCTAGCTCAACAGGACTGCAGGTTTTCACCATTAGACAGGTAGAGATCATAGAATCATAGAATAATTAGGGTTGGAAAGGACCTTAAGATCATCTGGTTCCAACCCCCTCTTAAATAAAGACTTAAACATGAAATACCCAGGACCTTAAGATCATCTGGTTCCAACCCACTCTTAAATAAAGACTTAAACGTGAAATACCTTATTTTTTCTGGGACAAACTAAAAAACAGGTGACACCCGAAGAGCTGTCCCATTTTTAAACGCTTCATGCTTGGACTTGTTACAGACAGTGCAGCGATTTGCCGCGGGGGAAGGCCAGACGAAACTTCACAAAACCATGTCTCAGGGGGAGATCGGGAAGCTGGTGGCCACACAGAAGAGCCTGGCTTCAGATGGGAGGTAGGAAACATGGCTGGAGACGGGAGATGAGTCCCTCCTGTTTCATTCTTGCTCTCCATCACCTTGCTGAACCACCCTGGCTCCTTTGGAGCTCCGCCAGCCAAAGTTGTTACTCGTCCCACCTTTCCTACATGGCTGTAGACATGCCCAATTAGAAAACACATCCTGTTGTCCTGACATGGGCCCGATGTCCCATCCCAAACCACCCAGTTGCATGCATGAAGCTCAAGTTTCTTGCCTTTCCTGAGGACAAGTTGCCTGGTTTTCCTGGTAGAAGTTGTTTGTATTTAGCTCCTCCTCAAACACCATGAAGGTCGGGACATTTGGGGTAGTTTTAGGTAGAAGGACATTTCCTAGTTAACACAGTTCCTCTTTCCACAACTTATTTCCAGGCCTCAGCGAGCCAAGATGAGGTTCTGGGTGAAGGGAAAGCAGGGGGAGAAGAAGACCTCACGGGAGAAGCTTGCTACCCAGTCTGAGCTACTGGAGCTGTACGTGGAGCAAGAAGCCCCTGGCAGGGAGGTCATTGCTGGTTTGCAGCTTAGTGAAGGTAAGTGGTGGGGTGGCATGGTGCTGATGGTGTAAGGAGCAGAGAAACTGTGTCTGGTCTCATGGCAGAGGGAAAAACTAGTGTAAACCTGGCTTTAGGCTGCAAAATGTAGGGGCTTGGGCAAAGATGTAGAAAGGAGGAAGGCTGGTTTATCTATAGGGTATCTGTAATGGGAGTATCATGTATGGTGGTGTGGTCTAGCTGAGGCTGCTTTAGGAAAATTATTTGAGAAGCTGCACAAATTGAATGTCCATGCTAGTTCATGTCTCTTGAATTCATGGACAGTGACAACCCAAAATGATGGCAAGTAGGTTAAAGGGTGGGATCCAGAACAGGTCCTAGGAGAATTCCATGTCACTAATCCTCCTGGCAGCTGTCTGGACATGGACAGATGTTTCACCTCTTGATGGAGGAAATAACCAAAGGAGAAATGAGATGTAATCTTCCTATGAGTACCACACAGTGCTTTTCCCCTCCCCAGGTTTGCACCAATGCCCATCTCCCTGGTTTAGTGGTAGAATTCTCTTTCATCTACTCTTCGATGTCTGTCCCCCTTTGTGATTATCACCCGTAGAGTTGGGTCCTCACCACCTGACCCCCCCGCGGAGCCCTGAGCTGGCTGGTATCTACCGACGGGAGTTCAAGGAGAACAAAGAGCCCTCTCCCAAAGTGAAACGCAAGCGCAGCGTCAAGATCAGCAACGTGGCTCTGGAACCCGTGCAGTGGCAGAATGACTCACTGCAGATCATAACCAGCGCTAGCGACTTGAAGAGCATGGATGAGTTTCTCCTGAAAAAGGTAACTCCTTAATGCTCCAGCTAAATCTTTAGAGAACTCAAAGAGCAGATGGAGGCAAAAAAGCCAGAATTATCCTGGGGGAAGCAGTAGAATCCGAATGGTTTGGGTTGGAAAGGACCTTATAGCTAATCCAGTTCCAACCCCCCTTCCATGGGCAGGGATACCTTCCACTAGAACATGTCACCTAAGGCTCTGTCTGACCTGGCCTTGAACACTGCCAGGAATGGGGCAGCCACAGCTTCTCTGGGCACCCTGTGCCAGCACCTCAGCACCCTCACAGGGAAGAACTTCTTCCTTAGATCTAACCTGAACTCATCTTGTTTCAGTTTAAACCCATCACACCTTGTCCTATCACTATGGTCCCTGATGAAAAATCCCTCTCCAGCATCCTTGTGGCCCCCTTCAGACACTGGAAGCTGCTCTGAGGTCTCCACGCAGCTTCTCTTCTCCAAGCTGAACAGCCCCAATGTTCTCAGCCTGTCTTCATATTGGAGGTGCTCCAGCCCCTGATCATCTTTGTGGCCTCCTCTGGACTTGCTCCAAAAGTTCCATGTCCTTCTTCTGTTGAGGACACCAGAACTGCAATACTAATAATTCATCTAGGGTGCACTGCGTGCACCAGGGCAGACTTGTGAGAGAAGGTGGCACACTTCAGTGCCTCCATTGCTTTGGGCTGCCCCACATCAGAAATGGGTGATCTCAGAGGGCAGGAGTTGATGGCTGCAGGGAAATGCTCATGTTTCTAGTTTGCATGTAGGAGAAACCACATTGTAATCATTATTAACGTCATCTGCCTGTGGCTGAGCAGCTGCTTTATCTCACACAGTGCTCTGCTGCAGCACAAGTGGCATGGGTGAATAAACCCCTTTGGTTTCCCAGATGAATGAACTGGATAATGAGGACAGCAAGAAGGACACACTCGTGGATGTTGTGTTCAAGAAAGCGCTGAAGGAATTCCGACAGAACATCTTCAGCTTTTACTCCTCGGCGTTGGCAGTAAGTGACCAGTTGACGGGTAAGAACTTCCACCTCCAGGAAAAATGAGACGCTCTGTGTCCTCCTGGAGGTGGAGACGTTGCTGAGCCATCCCTTCCTGGTTTGCTTATCCCAAAGGATGGATGCTCTTCCTTTATATTCAGTCCCATGAGCTGTAAATCTGGACTAACTCTTACTCTTTAGCCAGCTCTTGACACATGTTGTGTAGAGATTTCTGATCTCCTCATTACATTCAAACGGGAGATGACAGTAAGTCAATGCACTCTGCAACCCAAAGTGTCTGGAAGCCTTTGTGTTACATTTATAAGAGGTGGAGACATCTGAGGAATGTGTACCTCTTCTCTTCTGCTGCTTCTGAATTTGAGCAATGATTGCTATGGCTCATGATCACAGTGATCAAAACCAGCTATTTTATTGCCCAGATTGCATGAAAAGTTCCCTTTAAGACTTGGTCTGACACTTAACATCCTCTTGCTCTGCACATTGAGAAGCCACCCTTCCAGAGGTCATGAAACAACTCTCTTAGGTGATCCGATTTTCCTTCTTTTCAGGAAGGTCCTTTCCTTCGGACCTTCCCCGAGTGGTTGGAAGCTGGGCAGGCTGATATGATTGTCTAAAGGTTAAGAGGCAATCTGGGCTGTATAAAAATCACTTCTCTTTTTGCTTCTGTTCCCTTAAAAGATGGATGATGGGAAAAGCATCCGCTATAAGGACCTCTACGCCTTATTCGAGCAGATTCTGGAGAAGACCATGAGACTTGAGCAGAGGGACTGGAGTGAGTCTCCAGTTAAAGTCTGGGTCAATACTTTCAAAGTCTTCCTGGATGAATACATGATAGAGTACAAACCCCTGGACTACACTGCGGTAAAGGTAGTTAGTACTTTTCTTAAGCCACTTGAAGATTTGGGAACTGTCTTTCCATGGGGTTGTGCTCCCTGTAGACACATGGGAACCAGTGTTGTCTTCTCCTCTACTTTAAGCTGAGGTGGACAACATAAGGGTGATTCATTGGTTGCGTTTCAGTGGGCTCAGCAAACCCAGTTCACATCAGGGCTGAGCTGGGCTTTGGCAAATGCCAATGTGTAGATATTGTCTCCAGGGTAAAGCTGCAACCATCTATGGATGGTCGGAAAGGCAATTCCTGGTGCTTCTTTTTTCAGTTTTGGGGGATTTTGTCCAATCTTTGAGGTAAAGTGAAAGAGATACAAGCCTTCCTGGTCTCCTGACCTCTTCCAAGTGACCACATCACCATTGGTTGGGTTGCAGAAGAAGGGGACATGGGCAGTGGCTGTCCTCAGCGTCTAGGTATAGGTTTTAGTACAGTCAGAGCTTGTAGTGTGATCTCCTGATCTCCTCACTTTCTGCTCTGTGTTGCCTGAGAGGACAGCCGTGGGGTCTCAGGCTGGGCTTGGGAGATGGTGTTTATTGTACAAATACCCCATCTTCTGGCTCTTTTGCTTCAAGTCCACCCCAGGCTCCTCTCCAGGCAGGTTTTCTTCAGAGCAGAGTGAGCATCAGCTGTGGCTACATTGCTGTGCTGCATTCTTCTCAGGTGTCTTGCATGAGATGGGAGATCAGGTTACTGCTGCAGGACTTGGAGCTAGAGCAGCAGCTAATCTCAGCTCTGGGATGAAGATGAGGACATTTGTCCAGGGGATTTCTGAAAACAGGGTGATCCATAGGAGGGTTTTCTAGAGTGACTCTCCTGGGGCTGCAGGTGCACTGGAGAATGGGGTGGAAAGCAGTGAGCAACATGAGATACGAGCCCTTTGTACACTTTACCTGGGGAAATTGGCCCTAAATACACTTAAATCTCTTTCTAATACCAGGTGCCAAAAACAGAACGAAAAAAGAGAAGAAAAAAGGAAGCAGATGTGGTGAGTTGAGCACATTAAAAAATTAATGTCCTTGTGGCCAGAATGATGAGCTAGCTATAAGAGACCAGCTCATGACACATCCTATGCTGAGATCTGAACATCACACTGTAATGAACATGCAGCTGTGAAAGGATGTGCTAGAAAGGTGGACAGGGGTGGATGCGTTTTGTTTGATCAAGGGTCACTGTAGGTTGTTCTCTGCAAACCCATCCCACATCAGTCAAGACAGTAAACATAATGTCAAGAGTTACTATAGAAGAAGTCAGAGCAAAACAGAAAGTATTGTTCTAGGTTTCCGCATAAACTTACAATGTGTGGTTTACATCTCTAATATCAGAGAAGTAGGAGATTACATCTCCTTTTTTCCTAAAGGATCTGATAGCATTAGGAAGGATGCAAATGCAAAGCAAAAAGGGGCCATGGATGCATGGAAGAATCTTCTTAACATGAAGAAGTTGACCAGCCAACCTCAGTCAAACACCATTTCTCACTTGCTTGTGTGATGGTTCAGTTCCCATAACGGCTGGATGTGTGTTTGGGTTGCCTGTGGGGTTATTGGGCCGAAAAGAATATAAAAATAGCAAATAAAAGCAAATAACAGCTAAAATGTGGCGAGCTGACCATGTTCATCTCCTCGTTTTGCAGCACACTAAGCATGCATCTCCTTTTAATCATCACCCAGCCTTTATCATTGCAGGTGGAAGAGCACAACGGTCACATTTTTAAGGCGACCCAGTACAGCATCCCCACATACTGTGAATATTGTTCCTCCTTGATCTGGATAATGGACAGGGCTTCTGTTTGTAAATGTAAGCACGCTCTCTTTGGTCTGTTTTCATGAGTTTGTATCACAGTGATGAGCTTCTGCATTTTTAAAGGTGTTTGCTGCGCTTTCTTCCAGCTCTCAAATAATTTGTGTTTTTTCACATTAAAAGATCTTTTGGGACAGATATTAAGACTTTTTGAAGTCAACTAGTAAGTCCATCCCAGCAGCCCTTCCAGTCCTCATGGTTTTGCAGGGACGAGCTTTGCATGTTACACATCTTATCCCATAAGGTCCTATGGTCATCCCATAGGGTCAAACCATATTTGTCACGGTAAGAAGGATGGTGGAGTCAGGTAGGGCAAACGTGCCCTGCAACTTCAGCCCATAGGATGCCTGTAAGTCTCATGACCACAGTGAATTCATCTGGTTTAGCCTATTTGGCCTCCAGGCACATGAATTTCTGGGGAGCTCAGGAAAATGGAGGAGGATCAATGGGAAAAAACGATCCATTGCTTTGGATTTTCCAACATTTCTGTGATTAAGCTGAAAGTATCAACCCTGCGTATTTCAAGCTGAAGCTCAGAAAAGGAAGAATACAGATTAGGTGCTACTTCCAACCTCTGTGAGGGTATTTTGTTGGAGCAAGTCCAGAGGAGGCCACAAGGATGATCAGGGGTTGGAGCAGCTCCTGTATGGAGACAGGCTGAGGAAATTGAGGCTGTTCAGCCTGGAGAAGAGAAGCTGCGTGGAGACATTAGAGCAGCCTTCCAGTATCTGAAGGGGGTCACAAGGATGCTGGAGAGGGACTCTTCATCAGGGACTGTAGCGATAGGACAAGGGGTGGTGGTTTCAAACTGCAACAGGGGAAGTTCAAGTTAGACATTAGGCAGAAGTTCTTCCCTGTGAGTGTGGTGAGGCGCTGGCACAGGGTGTCCAGAGCAGTGGCTGCCCCATCCCTGGCAGTGTTCAAGGCTAGGTTGGACACAGGGGCTTGGAGCACCCTGCTCTAATAGAAGGTGTCTCTGCCTCTGGCAGGGGTTGGAACTGGATGATCTTAAGGTCCCTTCCAACCCAAACCAGTCTGGGATTCTATTTCTGATAACTCAGAGTGACTCATGATTATTTTCCAAGTTGATTTATCAGAGGGGTTTTAATGTTTCAAGGACTGAAATATGGGACTTTTAAAATTCATTTATTTCTGTTTGTTAGAGTGGATCTAATATAGATTTGCCCCCTGGAAACTGCAAATTCAACATGCTTTTGACCTTCTGGTCCTGCGAGGAGCTACTCAATTCATGTTAGTTAATATTTTTCTAGTGATCTGACTTTTTGGATTATTAAATCCTTCTTTTCTTCATTGCAGTATGTAAATATGCTTGTCACAAGAAGTGCTGTCTTAAAACCACAACCAAGTGCTCCAAAAAGGTAAATGTCTCTCATTCCTTTTCTTTTCATCATCTTTCATTTTCTTTCAGATGGTGAGCCCAAGCTTGTATAAAAAATGTTTGCAGGCACAGAACTTGATATAATACTGGCAATAACCCTCCTTCAAGCAGGAGCTTGTACTAGAGATCCCTGAAGATCTCTCCAACTGGCACTTTGGTGTTTGCATGGGCACTAATGCAGCGGTGCGTCACTATATATCTGCCCTATCATGAAGCAGATTATGCAGTGATGTTACCTGCCTTTTAACCACACTGAATCATAGAAAGCTGTCCTTCAGCTTACAGGACTTGGAAATGGAGGGTTATCCTTAAATGTAGGATTATTCTTGGAAATAGGTGTTATTCTTAACCCAGCTGGTCCCTGTTGAGGCTCACAGCACAGCCTCCAAACAGCGGCAGTGCAACAGCTGAGCAAGGAAGTGCTCAAGCACTTGCCATCCTCCTTAGAGAGGAATTAAGTATTGTGTGCTGGGTTTTAAGCATATGAAAGGCAGTGAATGAATGTAGCAGGTCGCTCTGGCTGATGTGAACCATCAGGATGTGGAGATTTTTCTTTGAAATAGTTTATTTTGTGCCCAAAAGAATGATAATACAGCCAGGATAATAATGTGTGCAAAGCTTTGTCAGCTTCTTGTGAGGCTCCTTGAGGAAAAACAGCCTTCATAAGGCTGCATGATTATATTTTTCCCAAGAAATAAGCTTAATGTATACATTGAACATATATATATGTGAATATACTTGTATTTTGAATATATATAGTATTTTTGCTGTACTCCTTCCCTTTCTGGGAGTATTTCTGCAAAAGCTGGGAACACCTCATATGAGTTTCTGCTCTAAAATCTGGGCAGTTCAGTGAGATCTCTGATTACTTTGGGGGGAGAAACTCAGAGGTGCTTGGACTTATCTCGTTTCTTGGGGTATCTCTGCACAAGGAAGTTTTTGTGCTGTACCCAAGGAAGCAAGTTCACTGTAGCCTTCCCCCTGGGTGGTTGGAGTTCCTTCTCTAGGAAGGCTCTGGCTTGTCTGTGCTTGGTGGGTTAACATTTTTAATGTTGTTTTCAGTGACGGGGAGCCACAAACCCTCTCTTATGCTTTGAGAAAGAGGTCTTTATTTTCTGGCAACGGTTGATTTTGTAACTGTTAGCCTTGTCCCAGACTGGATCTGTGGTGAACTTGAGCAAACGCCAGTTTCATCTCTCTCTATGACCATGGAATTGCTTTCACCCATGCTTCATCTCCGCGCTGCCCACTTTGAGTAAAGCAGTACATGGCATCATGTTTGAGCAGCAGGTGATGAATTTCAACTGGTAGCTGAGACCAGGTGTTCCTGGGGTGGGATTTTTTTCCCTAAAACAGGAAACAGTGTGGGCATCTTCCCCACATCATCTCATAAGGTTGGCAGATCAGTGAAAGGATGAGCCTGAATGGGGAAAGCAAAGATGCAGGAGTGATTATAAGGGCAGCCATGACCTGGGTCATGGTCACCACCATCTTGCTGATGAATGGGTTGCAGCATATACCATTTCACATTCCTCTTGCTGGCACCAGGCATTTGTGTTAATATTTCACTTGGTCTTTTGAATTTTCCCACTCAGAATCTCCCATGCAGGAGGACTTTGTCCAAATTGGAATGTGCCAGTTACCCAATCTCCAGTGAGTGTTTGCAGCCAGCAAAAGGGTCTTTCCTAGCAGATGTAGATGGAGTTTTCATGCTCTTATTTTAGCATCATGTTTGTTCACAGACATTTTGTAATTGCCAATGCTGCGAGTTGATCTAAGTCCTCAAGATTCAGATTTACTTGTTCTGCTTTGTGCACCCTCTTTGGGGAGTGAAATCATTCCCGGAGATGATGCCAGAGAGGCAGGAGGTGGAGGAGGACCATGCCTGGCTGCATTGGCTCTGCCAGGCTGAGAATACACCACAGTTGGGTGGTTAAAGAAAGAAGATCCAAAGTTTTATGATTTCAGGTGCATGCCCAGAGACCACCATAGCATTTCAAGACGTAATTGCTGGCTGTCCTTCAATAGACTGACTTGCACATCACCTGGATCGGCTGAAGAAGCCTGAAGGGCAGCCGGATCCGAGCGCTGCACCAGCATTGCTTCCTGGAAGGATTTTAGACCACTTTTTTCCCTTTTCCTCCTCAGTATGACCCCGAGCTGTCATCTCGGCAGTTCGGTGTGGAGCTTTCCCGCTTGACCAGTGAGGAGCGGGCAGTGCCGGTGCTGGTGGAGAAGCTCATCAACTACATCGAAATGCACGGGCTGTACACAGAGGGCATTTACAGAAAATCAGGGTCCACCAACAAGATCAAGGAGCTGCGGCAAGGACTCGATACAGGTAAACAGATGGGGAAAAAACATGCAGGGAGAAAAGTCTCTGCAACAGCAAGGCTGGATGTGAGGAAGATGGAATGCTTCATCAGGATGAAACAAGGGAGTGGTCCTGCCTTCTTTCCTGTGCAAGTGGTGCTTTCACATCTCCAACAAAACTCAAGTCACCAGCTCATGCTTTTTGGGTGCAGTACCTGAAAAAAAGTAATTCTGGTTGAGGGAAAACACTGCCTTACTTACACTGTAGCAATCGATGCCAGCAAGAAAAGAAATCCTGGTTCAACCCAAGGTTCCTTGCCCTGGAAAATGCGTTTCTCTCTGATTTTAACATGTAGAGCTGAAATCAGGTGCTGGGTTTCTTGCCATTGAACACAGTCTGGTTTTGGGGTGGCAAACAAACATTTTTATTGTAGAGGAGTAGCTTGTCATAGAATGGTTTGGGTTGGAAGGGACCTTTAATGGTCACCTAGTCCAACCCCCTGGCTTCACTAATGGCTTCATATCAATCGTTGCCTCTTGTTTTTTTCTTCTTCCTCAATCTGTTGTCAAACCCAGACATTGATAATGTGAATTTAGATGACTACAACATCCACGTCATAGCCAGTGTGTTCAAGCAGTGGCTCCGAGATCTGCCCAACCCTCTCATGACCTTCGAACTCTATGAGGAGTTTCTGCGGGCGATGGGTAAGGACCCTCCTTTGGTATCCCATTCCCTTGGCAGAGGGAAAGTGTGGCCTAACTTTTTATTTAGTCTTTGGGCCCAAACCAGCTAGTTTTGCCAAATTACATTTACTGGGTTTCACAGTCTGGGTTTTTTACAAGAAGCCACAAGCAGTTCAGTCTCACCTTTGGTGGCACACATTTGCATCATGTTTCAGCAGATTTCAACCCAAACCATTAGCCAGCAGATCCATCTTTTAAGTATCGAAAGTAAGTAAGTGTTAAGAAGATGTCATTTTAAATAGGAGGAAGAAGTAGAAGCTGCCTCTAAACACTGCTGCTTCCTCTGCAGGCCTCCAGGAGAGGAAGGAGACTGTACGGGGAGTGTATTCAGTCATCGACCAGCTCTCCCGCACGCATCTCAGCACCTTGGAGCGTCTCATCTTCCACCTGGTGAGGTACGTTGAGCAGGTATCCTTCATACTGAAATCACTAAGATCGAAAGAAGGTGGGC